TATACAGCATATATACGTTTATACGTATATAATATACATAGGTGCTTATATAATTATATTATATTTTCATCCACTAATTAACTAATATTTCGAACAAGAATATAGGCTTTGACATATTAATATGGTATTATATTATTTATCGTTAAAATTTAGTRATTTGTTTCATACAAACGTGTTTTACTACCTTATAACTTAAATGGATTATACTTAATGGCTATCATACTAAAAACGACGATGTTTTATTTGATATTGTGTAATTTGTAATTTGCATAAAGGTTAAAAGGTACCTATAAATATTGTTGTTTAAAAAAATTGTTATGCATTCTCATATGGTATAGCTAAAAGCAAATGTACTCTAATCTTCGCCTCTCTCGGGTATTAGCGTTATTCACTAGTCCATCGACTAAAACTCCGATACAACGTTTTAGCGTAATTAAAAGGTAGACTACAGAATCCTTATTTTTTTCACCCTCTTGATATATATATATATATATATTAGTTTATGTAGCATGTACATTGTACAAACTACACGTGCCCACACACACGCATGTACAACTATATGTATGTATATATAAAACAATTGAATTTTCCCATGTTACTATAGTAACTGGTGAAGTGTATAACCGTTTATCTCGTCCTCTACGTGGCACATAAACAAATCATCGTTATGCCTGTAACTTTACGCACCCGACATCGCTTCACTCGAGTTTAAATAAACAGTTCTTCTTCGTTTTTATACTAAAAGCCTTCCGAAACAATCGCTTTATTTGAACTGCTAACTTGCGCATATACTATACCCAAGTGATATTATGTAACATGAACAATATTTAAGACGCCCGCCAATACGTTTTGCGGTATTCTACAAGTGGATCTCTTGATTTTGTTCAACCTAAATAATGCTTATTGCTAATCACCATCATTCACATTCTATACGCATTTTCCTATATTATTATTATATTGAGGCATTGAGATATCTGCATGAAAAATGGATTCCCAACTACCATCCATAGAATGTGATGTACAGAACATTTTCTACACTGTTTTCAGACTGTTGCCATTGTGTGTATTATTTTARGCATTAAATTATTATTTATTTTATAATATGTACGCCGTGAGACTCGCTGCAATTTAATGGCGTAGCAGAGTATTTAAAGAATATATTAYCACCAAATTGAGCTATGCTAACCCTTATTATAATACTGTATTCTTGTCCATCGTTTAGTTTCTTACTTGCACACAGATCCCCAAATAAAATGTTGGGCTTTTGTATTAAATATTTTTGGGGGTCCATTAAAATATGATTTAATATAATTTATATAAAATAAGTTTTCCTATCGAAATTTTAAAATTTAAAAAATTCAAAATTCATTTCAATGCGCTCCTAACATATCAGGATCCCCATAAATCCATGTWAAACAACCCTTCCTCCCTTGTTGGGCCCCGCTTGCATGTACATATAAATTACTTCATAGTAATACATTAATAGTGTTATAAAAAATTTGTAGGTACATACACAATAATTAATTGTCAACGCTGTTCTGGAAAGTATTTTACATCAGTTTTATGTGAACAATAATAAGGTATATACGTATGAAATTATATTTTTGCTCACGGGTTATTCTTGAAATAAATCCGTTTTTGGTGGGGTTAGGTTAGTGTTTGAAAACTTCATGACATTTAAAATTGTGAAACATTTTAGTATTATATTAATTTTTTTAATAAGTCTTATTTTGCGTATAATTATTGTCATAACTCACCTTCACAATTTTATAATATTAGGGAAAACGATGTATAACTACGCATTAATGATAGTAATCATCATTAATATTCACTTTAGAAAAAATKTCAATGTTAGATACACGTTTTTATGAAATATTTCAAAATAAAATATTTCATATTTTCATACTTCAAACACCACAATTAATATATCGAATGTTACGAATATACCAAATACCAATCGTATAGAATTCCTTCCTCCATTGCACTCAAATTAAAACCATACGAATACAACTAATACAACTATATGGTTTCATGCTTTGATTGAAATGTGTTCAGTTAATTAAAACTGTAAAATTAAGTGAAAAAAAAAACAATTTATTTTATAGCTCCAATTTAGTTATTAGTCAGATTCAGTTTTTCACCCTCCGTCAATACACTAAATATCATGTTTGCTGTACGCTTTTTATTACACATACTGTATAGATATATTATAAGAATATAATAATATACTTGTACGCTTTTAGAACTTTCAGAATTTTTAGTCAAAAATAAACAATTACATAAACTTACAGTATCAAATCTATGAAATAAAGTGACATCGTAAAATGTTTGAGGCCTTGAAAACTAGAAATACATTTTATGAAGTTAATAAAAATGTGTACCTATGTACCTTAGTCGTGTTGATGTTTTTTCTTAACCTTATAGTTTTATATCTTAAATTTAATATACTGATGCATTTGCCCTTTGTAATCAACTGTAACTGTTTAATCCATATTTAGTCGCAAAAACTTTAATACATAAATCCTGTACATACTAAATACGTAATTAAGTGGTTTAAATGTTTTAAAACAGTATACCTATAATTTCGTACAAATCTGAATTGAATGTTTGTAATACTCAAACTTGGTTATCTAATATTTTTCAAATTATTAATTCCTTTTTACCTATAAAGGTACCTGATAAAAAAAATATAAAGTAATTKTTTCTTGATAATAGTTTATATTTCTTTCTAAATTAAAATATAAAGCATCACAAGGATATAATTAAAATACAACCTACTTTATTGATTTTAATGTAAGTTTACCTGAAATGCATCATTGATGCTGTGCATTCGCAGTCTTTCCCTCTCGTTGCTTTCTAGTCTCCGGACGTTCTTGTCTTTGCCACTGGACTTGCGCTTTCTCCGATTACCGGATCTAATTGCCCCGCTGCCGTTCCGACCTTGTCCATCCGATCCGGTGCAAGTATCATCGCTGATCTGCCATAGATCAATTCCACTAAATATTCTTTATAGCGTAAACACAGCAATATATTCGATGTGTGATGTAAAAAAAATTAACTTACCGACGACGAGTCGGTAAGTTCAAGTTCCCGTTGACAAGAAGTTCTTGAGGACTTGCGACAAGTCATCCCTGCCGTCATTATGCTGTTCCCAAAGTTAGTTTCCTCGACGTTGTTTCGTGAATCTGAACGCATCTCTGTCRTAAAATCATTTGATTTACAAGTTTTTTTAACAACTTCTCAAACACATTAATAGGTATTTGGAATGCATTCATTCTACATTATATATGTAATATGTATACTATATTATTTTAGGATAAGCTAGTCAAACAACAAAAGTTGATGTAATTTTGAGTATAGAAAATAGAATAAATAAGTTGGATCACTAACAACTTTAAAGTAACAACAGTCAACAAATCCGGGAAATTCTTGGTTAATCAGTCTATATATTATTATTTTCATACTAACATATAACCACAATATAATTTTCAAAATTTATTATTCAGTTTATTTTAAGCTTTCTACTTATACATTGTATATAGATACAATATAACAGTAAGTTAAAAAAAAAAAAATCACAATAAGTTATATTCACAAGCAAAGCACCTTCTCAGTTCTTCTCAATTATTTTGAAGGACAAATTACATTTTTTACTTTTTATAACGCTCAACTGACAATCTAACTATATATCCAATTTTCTACCATAATCCATTCGCAAAGTAAAATATTAAAGCATTTTTATTGTTCCCTAACGTGATGACTGATGAATCATCACTGATGATACAGAATTTGTTTTTAAAACACACACGTCAATAGTATCATCATTGTAWATTCTAAAMATTTTTCTAAGAATTTAAGAATTCAAAACGATTGTCTTGAGATTCCAAAACAGTTGGATCACAGTAGATCAGCTACGCTGTAGCCTGTAAGACGTGTTTAATAATTAATAATACTAAACTAACTATAGTTAAAAATAATAACAACGTTGTATAACTTGAAATTGAGCTAATACCTACAAATATAATATTTTTAACATATAAAAGCATATATTAAATGGATATATTTAACATAGTTTCATTGGATTTATCATTTATCTATGTTATACGAGTACTTGAGTAAGATTCAATAGATTTGATTTATTATAATGTTACATAAACCTTAGAATATTTAATATCTTGATAATAAATTAATTTTCTATTCAGATATTTTTGGTGATTGTAAATTGGGTATTGACTATTTTCATTTACCATTTTATATTTATTTATTTCAATTTATTTGTCTTGATTATATTGTAAATGCTTGTTTGAATTTTGAGAACCGACCAAATTTATTAGCATTTATAATGTATTCTAYAACTATTATGAGAATTTTCTTTCTTTACTTAAAAAGAAATACATAATATTTGTATTGAGTTTATAATATTTATATTTTAATAAAAAGTGTTGATTCAAAAACAAATCTACATTTATAGTAAAATCATTATAATATTAAATCAACAGTACTACGATTAAAATAATCTGGTTCATTAATTATTATATAAAAATAATATTTTTATTTAACGCTCTKAGATAAACATTTGAAATTTCGCGTATTAAACTTATTGATCTATGCAACCTCCGCAGCTGGAGTCATTAGTAAACGCTCTGAGATAAACATTTGAAATTTCGCGTATTAAACTTATTGATCTATGCAACCTCCGCAGCTGGAGTCATTAGTAAAATAATATTTAAATAAATCTAGGTTAGGTAAAGCAAATAACACGAAAATAAATAGAAAATGAAAATAATATAATAACATAGGTATATCTACATTTTTAAAATCTTGTTAAATAAATAATTTAATATTAGAAAGTTAAAATGAACATAATATTAATTATGATATTTATTTATTAAGTCAGTATGTCACTATGACACCACATTCAATGTCACTAGAGTTTAATATATTATTAATATTAATTATTATATTCAGTATAATAAATTATTCGCTATTAAAAGCGTACACAACAATACGCCTAGTAGCGAGTAAACTAAAGATTTTAATTTATGTCGTTATTTCGTTTTCACGTTTTAAAACAGTTACATAAATTATAATGAAAAACATCCAGTAGATAGTTTGCTCTCTTTTCAAGTTTGTTTTTACATTATAATCAGTTTATACAACGTTACGTAATTAGTTTAACTCGCCACTCGCTGTAGCCATTTGGTTCTTTTGTGTTTGTTTTCATGAAAAACAAAATACCTTTGACATCTATTGTAAAATGATATTATACAATCAACAAATKATGTTGTCATGTTGATGTAAAACTTTTTCATCTTTATGATTTTATGCTTGGATATTTTTATTTTTAGTGACTTTAAAAGAAGTACGTGTGAGCGCTTACGTGTTACGTGCAATATTTTGGTAGCTAACCTAGGTAGTATAAAATTATATTTTACATTTTTTTTATATGTACCTATACGCGTATTATTAACTCGTTTATTACTATAATTTATTTATTTTTCGTTTAGTTGACTGTAGATATATACGCTCCAAATATATTCCAAACTGTCAATGAGACAATAATAAAATGTATTGTTTTATAATTGTATACCTAACAATTATAAATCTACGATAATATTATAGTGAGCTTGTATATTATTAAGTACAATTTAAGTATCTTTTTGTCACAACTATGAGTTATGTAGTTGTTTTGAAAAGAGCATAGGTTTTTGAAGATAAAATTAAATTGAGTAGTTTTATTAAACAAGCAGCTATAAGACATGAATAATTATATTTGTTTTTATAAAAGATATTTCATAAGACTAAAATTCTGTGGGAGAAATGATGAGATGTCGCATACAAATCGGATATTTTTATTTCAAATACAGTGACCAGCAAGGAAACAAGAAGATTCATTAGTTTTATTATGAAGTGACTTTTTTTTATAGCTTCTTTAAAACTAATAATTAAGTTTTTCCGTAAACTTCTTAAACGATAAACGACAAGTTTAATTTTACATAATATGCTACAGAATTATATTCAGTAATGTTCTTCAAATTTGATAATAGTTTTTTAGATCTTGTGTATAATATACAAAAGACACTGTGTGTATAGTTTTGKTTTATAGACTCAAAAACTATTCAACCGATTTTTATGAAAAATTACTAGAGATACAAGAAAAGTTTRGTGAGTAATCTTATTTACTACATCTGGTAAAGTGGTAAGCAACAAAACTTTTTATTTTTGTTTTTGTTGATTGCAAGCCATATAAGCAATAAATTACTAAAATATATGAATCAAAAACTTTAAATTTATAATAATTTTGATACTTGAGAAATCAAGCCAAAATGACAGGTGTATTAAGTATTAGGTTTTCTGTTAATACTGTGAAACATATTTTTCTTTTCATACTAAAATATTTGATGACATTTAAAATATCGTACTTAAACACTTCTCATAGACCTTTTTTCACAAATTTAGCTAACGTTTTTAGTTTTATAATCAATTAATATATACTAACTATTGTTAATATTTATCTTGATATGGTTTACTTTTTATTTGCAATGCGATAATTAGCTTGAAAGCTTATTTAACTACTATATGTCTAAATAGTATACATAACTTCATAAACACAGGATATTTAACGAATTATTCATAGATTTTATTTGTTCGACTTGTTTATTTATTGAATTAGTTTGGAGAGTTTACCAATTACGATATTGACTTCTAGCTTATAAGTTAATAATAACATAATATTTTGATAATTTTATTTTCGAATTTTTCGCTTTTTGACATAAAGTAGTTCAACCTTTTGTATTATTAACAGAAAAATAAATGACTCATAKCATTATTTAATCAGAATTATTTTTCGTATATAATGATTTATCATTTAATTCAAATATTTATGTGTAGCATTTCAGTGATCCACTCAATGCGAGCTACACTCAACACATACTATACAGCAAAGAAACTTCCACGGTTTTTGTTTTAAACATAAATAATATTTTATACAGATTGAAGTTCATTAGTATTGATTGTAACAAAAATGAAGAAAGACAGTTTTTCTTCATGGCTTTTAATAATAGTGAAATTATATTAAGTATAGTTAAACTAAACAGATTTCTATCTCAAATTATATTTTACTAATTGTAATCATTTATGACACACACATTTTATAAATATATTAGTTGATGTAGTCAATTTCTCGGAATGGTCAAATCTAACAATACGAGTATATAGGTAAATTGCAACCATTAATTTTATTTGTACTCATCGCTAAATTATACTTTAAAATTTCAGTAGCTAGGTACTCATATTGCATTAAAATAGATACAATAACATACAAATAGTTGTTATTTAAATATTTGAAAAAAATACTCGTGATTGATTTTATTCTATCTATTGTAAATTACTAGTATAACAATAATTACATTTGAGCTTTAAAAATATTATCTTTAATAACGACTACTCAACAGTACGAATTTTGATTTATTTATTAATTTGAAAAATAGGTCAATCTCTCATTATTAAATAGTATTTAGTCAGCACTTAACAAACTGCTGTATTTTGAAATGTAAATGTCATGTGTCGATTCAACGCAGCATTATGAAAAGTTCGCTTTTATAATATTGTGTTTATTAGGGATTCGTACATACAATTATGTAATTTTTTTTTTATAATTCAATACTACAGTTTATGCTTGTTACCCGTATAATATTATTATAATTATTATTTAATACTTATAATTTATATTAGTATTAATTTATTAGCTCATTTATATAATATACATAAGTAATAATATGTTCAATTTACACACGATATTTTTAATATATGCAACATATATATATACTGTGTCCGTGTGTCCCAAAAGTCTCGTACCATCTTAATATCTTCACTAGGTATGGAAATTCTGATTGAATGAAATAAAATTCATTTTTTTTTTTTAATTCAAAAACTGTCAAAAAAGTTTTTATGTATTTAAAAGTTTTAWATTTTTAAGATAGCCATGTTGTTGAACATATTTTTTWTATCAGTTAAAAAAAAAAATAAAAATTGATTAAGTTAGAGAAAATTATGTTTTTGAATAATTGTAATAAAACAGTTTATGTTACCTGGTAAAACACGAATTGCACGATTTAATTAATCTCGRTTGGAACGCTGATTTTTTATTGTAATCTATAAATATCTAATTATTAATGGAGATTTTAGGAAAGATTAA